TAGTGCTCCATGAAAAAAAACGGCAAGTGTTTCAACTCAATGACATGACCTCTTTATTCATCTTTTCACGAAAAGTTTTCCAGTTTTCTGATTTCTAAAATTGTTGATTGTAAGTCGAGTGATCCGAGACAGTGTTGAAAGCTTTGTTTGCTCGGAGGGTGTTGGTTTAGAAAAAACCGTTTATGTCAAAATATAATACTAAGAGAGACGAGCGTATGAGATTGCTTCAACTGTACTGTCAGATCAAGTATCGTTATTTGTGGCAACAATATTACAATAAGGTACATGATTTTGAAATATATATATATACAACAGTACTGCTGCTTTCTTTTTATTGTTAGCAGAAATAAAACAGAGCTGTCAAGATGATAGAAAGCATCAGTCTCTTCGATAGTCAGATATACGGCACTTTGTATAAAAAACAAATTGCATAATTTTAGAATAGACAAAGAAATCACTGTTTAGACATGGCAACTGTCATAATTATCGATACGGGGCAACATTTTTGAATAAATTCTAATAGCTAAAGACATGTAACTGACCAATAGGAAAACAGGTTTTTATTCTCAATCAGCACATGTTTATATATATATGAGTATAGTTTAATTTTTCTGTCAACGTATAAAATAACAAATAAATGACGAAATTAAAGTTTTCAATATTATAATGATATAAATTATGCCTGGATAGTTTTATTTCTTCTAGTCACGCTTTAAACGTATTGTAAACTACAGAAAATGGAACATATCATAACAAAAGAGACAGCTATAGTGAACAACATAGTAAAATGCACTCAGATCTGTAGCAAATCAGGTAAAATCCATCAGGAACTTTTCTTAAGTTCTATTTTATATTGACCGTTAAAGTCTAATCTATAGCCTTTTATACCTACTTAAATAGGTATGCATGTCTGACAATAGCTCATTATTCACTTGTTTTAACTGCTTAGTTTGCATATTGTTGAAAAAAGATCATCTATAGAAAGAGAATAGATGTTCAATCAATCGTGTGTGTTCACAAAAAACAATATTTGTGAATGTTATACGATCATTAGCGGAAAACAATACCTTTTAGAAGAAAAAGAAAAAAGAAAGTTGTTTAAAGGTGCCGTATGAAAACATTAATCAAAATGGAGGAAGAATAGAGGATCAAAGTGATGATCGTATTGACATAATTAAGCTTAAAATGAATATTGTTCGTCAAAAGAAACTATATACTGTCTGTAACAAGCCCACCCAATGAAGAGAGTTTGTTCGTTTGGTTCTATATTTAATATAGAAGAAAGTAAATGTGTTTTTAGCACGCGATCAATATGTGACCACCAATAATATTTGATTAGTCACTTGAGAGTTCATCTTAAGGCGGTCAATAATCACAGTTTGAAATCACTCTTACATACTCTCTCTCTCTTTCGATAGAATAACAACATTTTTATTTCGTCACCTATTTTTCAAGTATTGTTCATCTGAGTGAGTACATTATGATGTCGTATTGATGTATTAAAAGTATTTGAGTAATTGATAATACGGTTTAGTTAAGTGAATAATGCGTCATTGGAATATTGTGGAGTATTGTGTGACAACTTTGAAAAAAACAAAAACAAATTTTAGCTTAAAAGAGAGTAAAAATCAGATAGGTGATAGTATTAATCTTGTACTTAGTACCGTGCTCGATATATTGCGCTTTATCGATCGAAGACCGTAAGTGTTTTTTTCATTATAAAGAGGTGAAACAGAATGAACAGGTATCCCCTATATACTACTACTTGTTGAAATCGTTGCCATCTTAATAGAGATTATAGTGACTTTGACTAATAACGTCCTTCTTTGATTGTTTTATAGGATATCATATTATTATGAGAAATTTTCTTTTTATTCATTATAACCATAAGAAAAGTCAAATTGAGACGTCGTACGATTATCTTTGGTTGTCTAACGTGATAATTGTCACTCGCTGTTGTTAGTTGTGACACTCTCTCAATTTAATCTATCAATGTCATATGAGTTAGTCTCTATCTAAAATTATGATCAATTAGAACCACAGAGATGTTCACGTGGCATAATCTGTATTGATGAAGATAATTTGAGAGAGAAAGATATAAAGATAACGAAATTATGACCAACAACGGTGTGGGAATGTTAGTGTTCTGATTTCGATTTGAAAAAAAAAATTCTTAACATAAAATACAAGTGACATGACTTAAAAAATACTTCAACTTTTTTGTTATTGTGTGATCTGAGAATTGAAAAGTAAGAGATGAACGGTTATTTATCAATGAGTATTATTTTTTCATATGTATATAAACATACAACACTATATAGGAATGTTTGTTTTGAAACATCTCAACTGAGATACAATCCATGTTTTAATCAAGTATCTCAGCTGAGAAACCAATATTTCTGCGAAAATATCCGTTTCCCAACTGAGATACATTATATAAAATATGGGCTTCACGATTTTCTCAACTGAGATACAGTTTTGACACGTGCGTTGAAACGTGCAATTGTGAAAGAGTGCTGTGTACTAAGGTCTATTATTCAATAGTTGTATAAATGTGAAATAGTGATAAGACATATCTAAAAATGAAATGGATTTTGTTTGAAAAGAAACTCAAAGAGAAGCTCATGCCATATTATTTCAAGAAAATCTTTTTCGTCATCAACGTAAGAATAAAAATGGAAGTGAAAGATGGGTTTGTATACGTGTTGAACAAGAAGATGAACAAGTAAGGACGAATAGAAAAAGGAGAGAACACGATGTTTGTTCAACAAAATTCATTTAGTTTCTGCCAAAAATGCATTTGTGAATGATGAAATTGATCTATAAGAATTTCGGCGAATTTCACACCACTTTGTGTACAACTACTTCAGATAGTTAATATAGATACATCATATACCTAATTTCATTAGTACACTGCACTCTTGCACAATTGCACGTTTCAACGCACGTGTCAAACTTGTATCTCAGTTGAGAAAATGATGAAGTCCATATTTTATAAAATGTGTCTCAGTTGGGAAACGAATATTTTCGCAGAAATATTGGTTTCTCAACTGAGATACTTGATCAAAACATGGATTGTATCTCAGCTGAGTCCAAACCGTTTGTCTTAACCGTATTAATAGAGGTACCGAGCGACGGCATGGAGAATAAGCTACTCGTCAGCTTTTCTTCGAAATTAGCTACTACCTGATTTACTCTTATTTCAGAGCATTTTTTCATCAATTGTAGTGAAAATTATCAATAAACGCTCCCATTTATTTTGGTGTTTTGCGACGCCTCTGCGTGTAAGAACCGATGAGGTATAGTAATAAAAAAAACGTCTAGTGGAAAAGCAGCGTTACTAGTCAACATAGTTCAGTCATATTTCTTTAAATGCGCGAGAAGGGCAAAGTGTTTCTTTAATGAACGTTATTCTTTGCTTAATTCCTTCATGTGTATGCTCCTTGCTATGTTGAACTTTGATTTTATCGTAACACTAAAGGTTGTAAAAACAGAAAACATTTTTTTCATGTCTTTTACCGAAAATCAACAGGAAAAACGAGTGCAACACAGACGGCTAGCAAAGCAGGATGACAGATATATAAGTTTAGAGAGCTATTAGTTTAATTTACGACTTGTTGTTTAGTAGTTTGTTTCTACCTGATCTTCCGAAGTTGAAATTATACAATACAAAGTTAAAAATACAAAGTTATTCTCATTTTGGATGTCATCCAATTCTTACTTACACCTAAATTAATATGTTTAGTATATATTCATTCGAGATACCGTTTCTTTGAACTTTAAGTCTGATCGGAATCTGTTCACAAAAGTCGTGAGCAGGACTTAGACAGCAGCTGAACTAAGCAGAAGTCAAAGCTAAATAAAAAAAGTATGATTAGTCTAAAGTCTAAAACTTCATTTCTCTCTCATCCTTTTTTCTATTTCTCTCGTTATTTATTATTGTTATTGTATAGAGAATTTCGACCAATTTCAACGTAACTTTAAGTTTGCCTCACCAAGCGTCTATTTGTAGACAGCCTTTTTTCTTGTGCAATCACGTAATATTTCGTTGAAAAGTGTCAACAGAGTATTGTTCATTCCATAAAATATATTTCTCTAAACAAATTTTAGAGTATTTGTTTCTTTTTTTCACATTATAAACATTCCTGTATTGATTGATTCTTTTCTCTTTTTCATCTCTTCCCTCTACTCCTGTTTTAATTGGTCGATATTGATAGTATTTTATTTACATACACTTTCTTTTATCCAATAATACTTGATTAGAGTGAGAAAAAAAATTATATAGAAATGATCAGCGAATTATGTGTTGAGCAGCATCACAGTGTGAGTGTTTTGAACTAATGCAGTAGTCTCTCTTATAGCTTTCTAACACCATACGATAAACGTGTTGGACTTAACTTCGATAAGGTTTACATTGTTCACAACGAACCGAGATTTTGAAAAAGTTTGATCATGAAGCTGAACTGTAAGTAGTTTCACCAGTCTAGATGGTGCTCTCCGCTCGAATAGACTCTTCAAATTGGTTGAAAACACGTGTCTATGGTGAGAGAAAATTTATCATGTTTATAAGAGATAAATAAACAAGTATTTTAACTAAAGAGGCAGTCATACTAAAACACCTGGCTTTCTATTCTGTTCCGAGTGGTAAAAGTTCTGAAGGTTCAGAAAGTGTTCTAAATAGAAAGGATCCACTAAGCAGTTCATATTGATTGAACATCATCTTTGTTTCGAACCATAATTTGAAAATCAATCCTAATCATCATGATTATCATCATATGAACGATAATATTTATTTCACCTAACTAATAATAATCAAAATACAATTACATACATGTATGAATTTCATATTATCACCATAAAGTGAATATATGAGAGGAAGATCATATGTAATCATTCCTACATAAGTGGCTTATTAAACAACTGTCATTCTATTAACGACAAATGGATGAACAAGTAAACAGACATTATCGTTGTTATTTCTAGATTTTTAATACATAGACATGCATCCAACGTGGTATCATCTTCCAGTTGATCGTGCGAGTACGCCGAAAATTTTATCCAATTTTCCTCGAACATCTACGCCAATTACACGCTCTATTACACATTATTGCCAAAGTCCAAGACAAAAGAGGAAGTGTTCAACCGCTAAACAACTTTGTTGGTCATCAACAGATATTCGTGCTTCATCCACACAATCTGATGAACATAAACATCGAAAGAAAAAGAAAAAAGTTGACTTGAAATATACTAGAAGTAGTAAAATATCAAAACAACGTAAAAACTATAAAAATAAGTATTATACTTTTAAATCCGGAACATTACCTGTTTGTTTACACACGCCGTCATCACTTGAACATTTACATTATTTTACGACAAGTACGAATAGCTGTTATAAAACAACTCGGTCTTGTGCTCAATATACTCTGCCAGAACAACAACACCAACATTCATTAGTAAAAATTTGGGTTGTGTAGCTTTTATGTACTTCATTTTAAAATAAATTTGATAGATAGAAACGGTTGCTTTTTTCTCTTACTCCACCGTCGTTCGATTCTTGTCACTCAATGGTGACTATAGATATATATAGGTATGCACTAGTGTCGGTTAACCGATACGGAAGAAACCAAGCATTCAAGAAATTTTCACAGATGGTACTATTTGCTTTTGATGATAATTATATGAGAAAGTGAAGAACAAGACTCTCTACAACATAACAAGTGTACCTACTACTTATGTAACTAGGCATGTACTAGTTATTTCGGTTACTATCGGTTTACCGCTGAAAACCGATCTGCAATCGATATCGATTTTGCTTACACTCGATCATAACCGATAGGCTCTAAAAAGAAATTCATCATTGTTATGTTTCCAGAGCACTACAGTAACTGAATAACCGATCGGTTATTTTAGGTTATTTATAACCGATGCATGTCTCGAGAAATCGCGAGATATAACACAGATAATCAGAAGAAGAAACATATACATGTTCAAACTAATATTATTTTGCCATGCAAAGTCTTTTGCGCCATTTTGTTTAAAAACTTTTCCTATACTTTTGGAAGTACCCTCCATCAAAAATAGAAAATCTTATGGGTTATCAGCGGGCTGAATACGAAAAAGCACTTTTCAGCAACTCAAAACCAAGTTTACTTTTTTACCGATGATATGCACATTATATCAAATGCTCAAATAACCTGAATATTATTATAAATCAAATATAATATTAGAACTGTTAGAATCAATAACAAGCTTTCTATCATAGTCATTTTTTAAACGAACAAAAAAAAGTAATCAGTTGGGAAATTTTCCTCCTTGGATCAGCATTTTGTCATGTTAAAGAGCACTACTCAAATCTTTTGAAAACAAAAACACCTCTAAAATGAAATAGTTATTTCATTTACAAAAATGTTCGATTAATTCATGTTTTGAAAAAACTAATCACTTACATCATTTTTTTCAGCGCCATCATACAAAAAAAGTTCCATGCGGCATTGCAGAAAAAAGGACCGGCATCGACGAAGCGCACCAGTGCTCATGCCGTGCCATAATCATACGGCATTGCCCCGACACTTCTCTTATAAGAAGTAAAAGACGTGGGCCGACAAGATATTCGAAATATATATAGTAATATTACAAGTATACCATGGTGTTTATATACACGAACAATAACAACACAAAATGGTGATTCCAAAAGAAACTTGGCACCGATGTGTATCGGTGCGACAGGAAATTTCTTTTTATCGTATTTTATGGCACTCCCGCGCATCGTTGATAAGTAGAAAGTGTATTCGGCATGAGTGCGCACCCGTGCACGACCAGTGACATCAAAAAACTCATCATGCACACTAATTTAACTAAATAACTCAAAATCAATGAGTGTAACGTTAACAAGGTGCTGGCCATTTGCCATTCGCTGGGTGTTACTATCAAAATCAAAGTACTCCCGCTAATTGACAGAAAAA